TGGGAAAGAGAGAGGTACTGAGAGGAGCATGGTGACACATGAAGCATGTGGGCGAGAACCATTGCTATAGATTGGTCTCTGTACACAAGCTTTATTGTTTGTCCTCAGCTTAAATTCCTGGTGGTGGAAATGTCTGACTAAGGGACAAGGCACATTTTTGAGGCTTTTGATGAGTAATACAAAATTGCCCTCCAGAAAAGTTATAACAATTAAAAGACCCACGGTAGCATTTGAAAGTGACAATTTCCAAAACCCTCCAGTTGGCTAGACATGCTTTTCAACAATCAAATCCCTATATGGCCATAAGTTTTTAAAATAGCAAAACTACTAATATAGCACCTCTACAAAAGCAGCCAATAATTTAAACAGCAAATTTAAGATTTTAAAGTGTATGCTTTCAAATACAAAATGTAAGACTTAATGACACCAAATACCAGAAGACTGAACTAAAAGAATGATTATGAACTACTGAAACTGGATTCTGAAAGGTGACAAGCTAGTGGTATAACAGTGTACCTTAAGAGTCTGGCTTATGAGTTTGGGTTATAATAGCAACATGCTCTATTCTTTATTCTCTCAAATCTTGTAAGTACTATCTTATACCTCATGTGGCAATTTGAGGTTCTTAAAATTCTTTTAAATATTCATTTACTCAACAAATATCTGAATGCCTACTCTAGGCTGAGCACAGTTCTAATGCAAGGACACAGTGGTGAAGTCTACAGTTCCTGCCCTTAAGGAGCTGCTATTCTAGAAGGAAGCTCAGAACTCCCCTGCGTTAAGAGTTAGCAAATCACTGTTACGATCCCAGTCAGGAACTACTGGATTCTTTGGCAAATTGTAACACATCTGGGTTTCAGTTTATCTGTCAACTGAACTGAAGAAGTTACCAGAGACTCTGAGGCTCCCTCTGGCTCTCAACAAAATTCTGTAATGTTTTTGGTTTTGTTTGAATACTTAATTTTCTATTATTCGCAAGAGCTTTTCATTTTAAGCTCTATACAGTTCTTCCATAAAACTCACACCCAGGTTCTCCCAAAACACTAATTTCACATCTAGAGTAAATTGTTGGTAACCCAGGCACCTTCAAAGAATAAACATAGGATATAATTCCAGTTAAAGACTTACACTCTTAATTGTAACTGTTTCTTTCAAGAGGCTTCTACAATGTCTTCATCTCCTTCACTTTTATACTGCACTAAACACCAAGGCATGAAATATGGCACTGCAGTGGGTCTCTAAGCCTGCTGCACAGAAAGAGCTGGTACCCTATTCCCTCACTCATACCATGTCTTGGTGTTTACAGTGGCACTTGGATGCCCCAGCAGCTGCAGTCTGAAGCCCTGGTGATGGATTCCCAACTCTCTCTGACTTACCCCAGTCCCAACTCAACAGCCATACACAATCACACAATTCCTTCCATCTGAGGTCTACAAATCACTGCCCCGTTAGCATTTCTAAAAGTAGAAATGAGAATCACTACTTCTGCCAACATTTGTTTTCCACCAGATGTCCCTGCCATCACCATTTCAACTGCTCTGGATGCAGGGTCTCTTGGTGAAGGCTGCTTTGGGAAACAGAAGAAGGTACAGCCAGGGGCCTCAGGGTCTTTTCTCTAGGGACGAGCACAGACACTTCCAGGAAGTAATATCACTTCCTTGTGTTCCCTAAGGATATTGCCACTTTATAATACAGATACCACACATGTTCTCAACTCTAGGCATATACAATGATTCTGATTCTTCCTCTGTGTTTGCCTTATAAGCCAGAAGAATGAGTAAGAGCCAAGATTTTCTCATCACTTTGCAAAAGCACATTGGCAAATTCACTTACCATAAGTTTTTCCTCCGTTTCCAGGATAAAACCATAAGACAGGATCTAACAAACCCAAGCTTTGCTTAAACAGCATCAGTAGTATACTAGGAAGACCATAGGTGCTGTCACTTTAAACACAGCAAGACACATTTCCATAGTTCACAAAAGGAAATGTAAAGGAACTGGAAAAAGCACTCTAACTCCATCCAGCTTGTAAGCCTCTACACTTATCACAACCACTTTACGTGGTTCTACTATTCGCCTAAAGTGCTTCTGCTGCCACTATCAGGACAAAAGAACATAAGCCACATCACTTAAAAATTGGAGAGCTAAGGAGTTCATCCTTTACATAGTTTATTCAGCACGTATGAGAAAAAGTTGGAAGATAAAATCATCTCCAGTGGAAACAACTTATTATGCTCATTTATCAACCAATTAGAACGGGAAATTAAAAAGTTAAAAACTCACATTCTCAAAGATCACTAAACTGGTATCAAACAGGAGCCCAAAAGTCATAGTCAAGAGATAGGCAACAGATCCTTATTGGACATCTGTAACAATTACTTGGCATAGAACTCATTTCCCAGGCCTTCAATGACTTTAAAGGAATATATATTTATAATGATAAACAAATTACAAGTTGGGAGAGGAAATACCATAAGTTCCCAATACTCCCTAAACAATAGACATGCACACACTCCTCCGGTGGGCATCAAAATACCTGAATAACATACATAGATTTCATCTGCTCATCAGCCTGCAGTCTGCCCAAAAGAATTAAAATATTTAACGTACAAAGAAGGCATCTTTGAAATCTTACCGTTATGCAAATGGCTAGTCCACTGAAATAAAGGACGAAAATGCTAACTAAACTGCTCAGGAATCAGTGTTATTGGAAAAGCTATGCTCTTAAGGTTCCATACTTGAAGTTTATGGAAAAGCAATCAAGTGGAACTGACTTACTGTAATAATTTGACAAAAGCAGTAATTTGAGAGAGTGTGTTAACAGTGTAACAGATTTGGTAATGCCAATCGCCAGAGCTAACCTAGAAAACACAGATAAAAGCCTCCCAAATCTAAGTATTTTGACAAAAATCAGGCAAGATTATTTCTTAACTCTCTGTAATTACTCACTTACTCAGTAACTCTTCACAGCCCACTCTGTGACAGAGGCAGTACCAGGTGCTAAGGATGCAAGGAGCACAAGCAGATGTGTTCTGCCCTCTCCCAGCTTCCCGCCCCTGGAGCAGCTTACTTATATAAACATTTCCTGACATACACCAACACGTGGAGCACCAATCCCAGCCCCCCCACCTCCTGCCTGCTGCTCTCCCCTCCCCTCATCATCAAGTCCAGGTCCCCCGTCTCTCAGGCATGCAAGCTCAGTCCCACTTCAGGGCCTTGGCACTAGCCCTTCCTCCGCCTGAGCCTATCTTCCTCCAGATCTCCACCTCTCAGACCCCTCTGCCCAATCACTGCTGCTATTTTAGTCCCTAGAAATTTTCCTGAAATATTAACAGATGCCCAGTAAATACCTATTTAAGAAGAACAAATATAGACGTTATTAGTTTTATATCACAGGGACAGGAACCAAATAAAGGAAAAAGAGAATACCTTAAATGCTAAAAGATTTGATCAGATTTTTTTAAAAGATCATCACAGATTACACTATGATGTCTTAAAATATAACTCCTGAAAACAAGCACAATGGGAATACTAAAGCAACATTGGCTATACTCAAACTTTACATTGCATTAGGCTCAATGTCTACCCAGTAACATTACTTCTACAATTAATTCTGACTATAATTTTTCACTTAAGGGAGCCAAATATTTTTAGAAGCATCTTCCCCTTATGAGTTGTTCATAACCCCTTCACAGTTGTAAAGTTTGTAACCATCCAATATTAAAATATCAGATACTAGTGCTAATCTACAGTAGGCAAGGATTTCAGTGTCTCATGGTAAACAAGTTTTATGAAACTGTTTACCTCTTCAATTTAATCAAAAACACAAGGTCTTCATTCCATGTTCAAAATTATTTAAACTCATAGGAATTTTTTCTATAGATTAAAAAGAAAACCTTGTATCTGTTCCTTTCTTTGCTGCAAGGAAAGAGCTCAGTTGTTACTCAAGGAATAGGACTTTAGTTTTTAACCATCACAGCTCACACTTCACAGTAAAGATGCCAAAGAGCCTCATGGATCATTGCAAAGTTATATAAAAGCAAATGTTACACACTGGGGAGACAGCACATTTATTTCCTGGAACATTAGGTAAAGAATTACTATTGCCTGTGGGCCTTTGGGAATAACAGAAAACCACTCAAAAACCTCAAAAACTAATGCTTTGCAACAACTTCATAGCAGAACATTAGAAACAACCTACATATATCTCAATAAAGAAGAGGTTAAATAAATTATGGTTCATCCTTAATGGACTACTCAACAGCTTTTAGAGAATGAGGCAGGTCTCTTAGGGACTGATGGAGACTGCCATGATTCCGTAGTCTGTGGGAGAAGAAGCTGGTGCACAATAGCGTATACAGTGGGGGTCCTCACCTGTGCAAAGACAAACAAAAAGAACACATACAAAATGTTCATATGGGCTCGGTGCCTATAGCTCAACCAGCTAAGGCGCTAGCCACGTACACCTAAGGTGGCGGGTTCGAATCCCCAGCCC